CAAACTACTAGTCTGTAGACTATTAGTTCGTAAGCACAGTTCTTATACGAAGAAAACGTTATCACATCATGTGACAGCTTTAGAGCGCCATATTGGACTAAGCAATGGTAATTATGGTAGAATTTAAAATAATATAACCTCATTGATGAAGCAGTGAAAAATTACTAGGAATAGATCGATGTGAGTGATGTCATAAGGATTGTGTCAGTTGTCTTAAATGACAACTTGAAATAATAATAATTCTTATATTTAATTATTTCTCTTTAATACATCTGTTACCATATCCTGGCTGAGAGTCCACAACTGTGCAGCTAATGCAGAATCCAGTGCAGCATTCGACGGTTGGCAATGGCAACAGTTGTTAAAATAGCTACCTGTTACACCCTCTAATTCAGGAGCAGTAGCGCAGAATATAACAGTGCTCGCTGCTTGTTGCTGGAATATTTTATATTCGATTATTATTTTACCTATTCTTCATGATATGAACATAAATTAAAAGTGCACAATAATATAACGAAGATAATAAAAAAATGCAACTAAATAAGATTTATCATATAAATTCATTTACATATTGAGGAGATAAAACTAAACGGTCAATCCTCTTTGTATTATTTTAAAGAGTATCTATACTCTTCAAAATTTAAATCTATAGTGCTTCAAATGAATTAGGAGATTTATATCATACCAATGATTTTGTGAATGGTCGTGCTAAGGCAAACAATAATCGGTACAACCACCATTGACGCGATAAAGATGTAAACACTAGGTTACCGGGATGACAAGCAAATACGCCTATGGAGGGCCATTGGTGTGCCAGTTCTTGCACGAATAAAATATTACAGAGCTTTGATTCATTATATGCTGCCATCGCCCAATATTTGTATGCTGGTACAGACAAAGACTGGTGAAGATCTTCTACAGTTCGTATTGATGAAAATCTATATCAAAAATATATCTGATTACAAAAATTCTCAATATAAATGACATTATTACAAGAAAAATATCAAGAAGTTACCTATGTGATTCACTGGAAACTACTACGATTCTAGGATTGTTAGAACTCTGTATAGTCTGTTTCAATAGAAGAGTCAAATAAAATTGTGACAAGTGATTAACTTGAAACGTTGTCTCATAACCATCTTTTGTAAGTTGATAAGGTAGTCCAAACACGCCTGCATTTAATATAAGAATGTCCAGAGATCTGAAAAATTAGAAAATTTCATATAAACAATATATAATATATCAAAATAATTATAACTACTGTTATAATTACTAAAAAATTTACTTAAATCTCTGCTTAAATTGTTCAGCAGCTTCACGTACACTGCTCAATGATGATAAATCCATTTCTAAAGCTATACAATTTACAATATCTTTCTCTTGCTGAATACGTCTTATAGCGTCATTAGCCTTTTTCATATCTCTACAAGCTAATATTACATTACAACCATGCAAGGCTAATGATCTAGCTGTTTCAAATCCTATAGAAAGTTTTGTCTAATTAGTAAAATTGTACAATAATGTTATAACTATAATTATTCTCACTTACCAATGCCTGTATTAGCTCCTGTAATAAGAGCGACTTTGTTACGCAGATCTCGTCCATGTAATACTGCCAAGGCAGTACTACTTCCATCGAATCTTTGTCGTATTATTTGAGACATCTCTCTGTATTCAGTAGCAAATGCTAATCGTGGATCAGTGTAAGTTGTTGTACGATTTGTATGGTCGATATATAAAACTTTACCGTCATCTGATATACATCTCTCCCATCCAGATGGTAAATCTATTTAATTTTTTTAATTTAATCTTTACTTTTAATTCTATAACAGTTAACTTTCAACACTTTTAATAATTTAACAAGTTCTCTTTTTTTAATATTAATTTTGTCTAATATAAAGTGATCAATAAATTAATATATTGATAAAATCTTTTAATGTAAGAGGCTGAGCACAATCAAAAGAACAGGGAATTGATAATAAAAATTTCAACTCAAGCTTATAGCACACACAAAAACATAAGGCAGATATAAGCAGTAAGCAAATTGGTCAATTATAGTAGAGACCGTAAGGCCAGTAGTGAATTCAATGTTGCGATTTCCTTGTTGCTTACGTCTTATTGCTTTAGGTTTTTAGTTATTCCTTCCATTTACACCGATTCTCAGATAATCTCAGATAATCTCACTTGTGATGTCATCGACTCAGTTGAATGTGCGTTCCTTTTGCATTCTGACAAGTGAAATTTATCTGATTTTTCCTATAATCTGTAAGATTGAGACCATGTGCTTTAGTGAGTGTCATAAACTCACTTTACAAGTGAGATTCGAACCTGTGTTGTCCTGATAACTTTTTACCAAAGTAAGCAAATAATGATGTCATTAATCTGTATGAAATACTCGGCTCACTTCAGACTCAGTTTACTTGTGTGCAAATGGAATCCAACTTTTGTACGTGCCATGGGCTTTATAAAAATCTATCGATACTTTCCAGCAAGTGACACAATGTGATCCAATGATCATGTCATCTTTGGGAGTTTTTCAGCAGAGGCATAAATTGACTCAAGAGTCATTCTGTCTGTTTCTTAATGATTATCACACAAGGACAGGATCTCTAAATATATATGGATATTGATGAATGATAATAATAAAAAAAAAGGGAGATAATAAATCCTAATAGATCTTTAAAGATGAAATAGGGATGAAAGGGAATTTTATATAAATCTTTATTTATTCCTATGAGGTTTGAAGAATCTGGTTGAGTGTAAGGAAACTAAATGAATAAAAATGAATAATATAATGATAAATGGTAGAATAAAGTGGAAAGAGAAGAAATGATTTAAGGTTAAGTTGTTGATTGAGAATCTTCCTCAGACTCATATAACTAGTATATTTCCTATGTATGGGATTCTCATGTCAATTTGTATCTCTTGCTGTAAAGCTCTCTTCGTTTAACATTAGCAAACAACAAGAATATAATGATTCATTATATTACACTGTGTCATCTGTGTCATGCTGGAAAGCATCCTATGCAAATACTATGAAATACATAGCTTTTGATAAGTTGAAATTCTTATTCTCTGTTCTCTATTCCTTACTTTTTTAATTATACATAGCATATAATAAAAGTGAAATGAAAAAATCAAACGTAACCTCCGTTGACAATCTTTTTACGGCCAGTTCTAGGATGCGTCCACTGCGTGCCTTTCGTATAGTGACTGCAACACGGTATGTCATGAGAATACACTCGTCTATTTCAATTAATCTTTTTGTATCATGAAACATGCAAACTTCATATTGATTACTTCACGTAATAAACGTTTCCATCTAACGTTGTTCTCTCTTCCCATCCCGGCGGTAATTCATCCTCGCTATCGGAATCATTCAAAATAGTCATGACTGAATCACTGAATCCATAGATCGGTTTTCAGTGATAAACTTAAAATGAAAAAGAAAACAGGTAGATGTTTGATAATTTAATATTTGTCAAAACCGAGAAAGAGTTCTAGCACAGTTTAATTAAGAAACAGAAAACAGATTACAGATTATATGAATCCCTATTCCAATCGTGGTTATGTTCAGATTCTAACCAGAGTGCCACCTATATATCACTGCACCTTGTTATTTACCAAAAGTTAAACAAGGATGACATGACACTTGGGGACACTGGGAATCCGAACACGCTATTATATGTCATAATAAAATTTAATTATTAATAAGTAAATTGAAAGTTTTCCTTTATTTTTCGTCATATTTATAAATTATGCTGCGCTTGGAAGGAAGTTTCAACAGCAACAATTGGTCGCGTCATATCCTTTTTGACCAATGAGATTGGAGACTTTGGTCGGATTTTTATTTCTAGAGTCTTTAGGCGGGACCAATCAAAAAACATCATTCGATGTCCTAACTCTTAGGCCGAGTTCACACTTTAACGGAAAAGTGGAAAGCGGATAAACGGAAGCCAATCGAAACTCGCAGTAATAGTAATAGTACATTTTGCTTGTCTTTGGCTGTGGTCAAAGTCTAGCTGCAAGTGCTTTGAAGCATTTGATGGACCAATTAGAAGAAAGAATTTTATAAACTGATCAATTAAAAAACGCTTCAAAGCGTTTGCAGCATCGTGTTGACCGTACCCTTTGCTTCTGTCTTTCCGCAAATTCTATGTTCCATACAAAACTTCTAAAAATGATGTAATATTACTTCCGCCGCAAGGCAAAAGTTGGATTGAGTTCAACTTTTGTCGCGCGGTGGAAATTATATATTTATTACTTCCGAGCAAGCGAGACATTGATTGACTATCGCGCCACTTCCGCCGCGGAAATTATTGCACTAGCCTATAATTCTTCTATATATAGATAGCATGCTTTTGTAATTTTCACCTTGTTTGAAGATACAGAATCGAACTACCTGAAGATTTAGTACAGAGACGAATCATTACTACTTTCGATACAATTTTATCGATAGTGTCAAAAATATGTAATCACGTAATTCTCAAATTGAAAATAGATGTACTAGCAGTAATGTACGAGCGATTTCGACGATAACAGAAAAAAAACCGGCATGACCTCTCTCAGATTCAGAAAGACTTGTAAAATAAATGGAGCGTCCATTGTAAATTATGCATAAAGCTCTCATCTATCTTTGTTGCTCTCGGCCACTTCCCAGCTTGCCATAGCGATCAATCAATTCACTACTAGAAAAGAAGAGATTATTTCTTTCTCTTTCTATCAAGTCTTCAGCTTCTCTCGTATGAATGCTCCGTTTATCTTATGCATGATCTACAATGGGCAGTAGCAGTAGTGGATTAAGGAGTAGGCGTCCAGAAATCGACCAATCGTAGTTGAATGTGAGAAAAATAATCAACTATGATTGATCGATTTTTACGCCTACTCCTCAACTACTGTTACTGCCCATACATAAGTCTATGCTCAGGTTTCTCTCTGGCAAAAGCCAGAACTTATGACTCAAGAATGCCATCTATTTCCGTTTAAAACGAACGCCTGACAAAAGCGCGGGTAACAGTCCTCCAAACAGTCCAAATTTCCAAAGAAGCCACAACGAGTTAAACGAGTGTAGTTGTTTCTTCGGACTATTTTTCACACAGCTGCATTTTTTACCGTGGAATCACTGGAGCACGCTAAATTTATAGTGTTAGTCTAAAAGAATCGACACAATGTTCGAGGCTCGTTTGGTACAAAGCGCGATCCTGAAGAAGGTGTTGGATGCGGTAAAGGATCTTCTAACCGAGGCGACTTTCGAATGTTCTGACTCGGGCATTCAGGTCCAGGCGATGGACAACGCACACGTTTCTCTCGTCTCGTTGAATCTCAGGAGCGATGGCTTCGACAAATATCGTTGCGATCGAAATTTATCAATGGGGATGAGCATTAGTTGGTGAGCATAGACATAATAATTTAAAGGTTATGCGCCGAATGATTGTATTTTGAACAAAGAGATGGTACTTGTGTTTCTTTTGGCTGCTTTTGCTTTATGTCTTTTGCTATATGAAGTAAAATAAATGTATGTGCAATTTTTGAGAAATGCATACAAAAGGGACAAAAGAACTAGAATCAGAAAATTGTTATAATAATTAATGCACTTTGTATAACAATAATCAATCATGAAACCTGCTTCCAGTATGTCAAAGATATTGCGATGCGCTGGTGCAGAAGACACGGTAACCCTCAGAGCATGGGACAATCCCGAGTCGGTCGTTTTTATATTCGAATCGCCCAACAAGGAGAAGTTAGCCGAATATGAGATGAAACTGATTAATATGGATCAAGAACATTTGGGTATACCTGTGAGGTTTACTTATGTTAAATTAATAGAGTAGATATTAATGAGCTTTGTACAATAAGTCATTACCTAAGCCAGAGCTGTCCAAGGTTAGTGTTTTTTGGTTTGAAATCGAAATATACCGGTATTCACATCTATTATCATTCCTATTTCTTACTTCATTGCTATTTTGTCATAGCATATGACCATCGGTCTCAGGGACGATATTAGTTTGACATTATTAAAAATTTTTTACTTGTGCCTCACTAAGTTTAAAAATATTCTGTTATTTATATTTTTGTAGTTAAATATATTATGAATAATAATATCTTATAATATTAGAGTAACAGAATTTAGTTTTAAAGATTGAAAGACACATAGGTCAATAACTATTAGCGATTTTAGTCTAATATCATCCATGAAACCGAGCATCGCGCACTATGACAAAACAGCAATAAAGAATAGGAACAGTAAGAGGTGCGAACCAGTTTTGATTTCATTTGAAATCAAAAAAACATCCGATCTTGGACAGCTCTGATCTAAGCTTCAAGTCAGACTAATATTACATCATCGTTTTTTTGTCAATTTGTTGTTTTGGAACAAGCTTTTCAAACCTGTTGATTAGTTACAAGACAAAAAGATTTTCTCAAATCTTTCTGTCCTTCAGCCACTTAACATGTTTGAAAAATTTTTTATACAACAAATATAATATCAGCCTTAAACTGTAAAAAATTGATCAATCATAATTAAATATGAAAAGAACACTTGACTATGATAAATTGCTTATGATCTGAAGCTTAGATAATGGCTTATTGTAGAACACAGTCTACACAGTTATCATTCATCAAGTAATTGCTTTACAGGAGACTTCATACTCGTGCGTTGTAAAAATGCCCACTGCAGAATTTACCCGTATATGTAGGGATTTGAGCCAATTTGGAGAATCTATAACTTTCGCATGTTCCAAAGAAGGTATAAAATTCAGTGCGTCTGGTGATTATGGTTCAGGTAAATATCAATGAAACATCAATGTATACATATATGCACATAAGATAAATATCATCTAATCAGGAGACAGAACAATTTTAAGCTTTAATACCGCAATTTTAAGTTTCAGTACCGACCGTATTAAAACTTGGGAACCTTCGTTCTCATGCCTAACACTTATAATTAGCATGCTATCCCATAACTATTCTGATCTCTAATTAATGCCTAATTGACTACATTCCTATATCAATATATAGCATGTAATTTGTTTTTCTCTACTTACGTTATAAAATATAAAGGAAACTCGACATTTTTTTCAATGCTGCGATTTTCTAAGTCCAACAATAGATTGAAGCTAATTGCAGAGTTTCAACCATCAGTCGTTAATTGAAAGTATATTGAAAATTTTTCTAATCTTGTCATATTTTACTTTTTCTTGTTTGTTTTTACTTCCATACAAGATATACTCATGGGGAGATATTTGAACACTAAATGAAATTGTAATAATAGATCAAGTTTTGTAGATGTATTTATATATGGATTTAATTAAAGGAGTTGAAAAACACTACGATGTTTATAAATAATGTTATACAGAATATTTGTTATAAAATAAGGCGGAAATATTAATTTGCACAGAGACATCCTGTACATGCAGTTGAATAAGTGCAAGACTTACAAACTGCTTTTATTTCTTTTGCAGCTAACATCAAATTAGCACAGACTGCAGACGCTGATAAGGAAGAGGAAGCAGTAATAGTTAATATGCAGGAACCAGTAAAATTAACATTTTCTTGCCGTTATCTGAATTGTTTTGTTAAAGCTGGCCCTCTTTGCAACCAAGTTCAATTATCCATGTCAGACGACGTGCCTCTAGTATGTGAATATAAAATTGGCGATATTGGACACATCAGGTATTACCTAGCACCCAAAATCGACGATGAGGAAGAAAACTAAAAATAACGACAGAAATAGAATTTATATACATTGAATTGTAATTAACGGCACTGTATTACGTTATTACTTCTTTGGAAAATTTTGTCCTATTAACATTCGACATTGTCATATTTATTTCAATAGAAAAGAAATTATTAATTGGCTTGACATAATTACAAAGAGATGATACTATACATGTATTTTACTGATCCAGAAAATTAAATATTCCGTTTTTCGTTATTTGATATTGAGGTACAAGTAAGGCGAAGTTAAAAACACTTTTAAGGTAATATATTTTAATTTTACATTTAAAAGTTATTTGGCTCGTCACAGTGCTAGCGCAATGCAGAATTGACACTAAAATTTATAGTAGAGTGACACAATGATTAGTATAGCAAAATGGTGTCATCCTCTTAATCAATATTCACATTATTAATGTTTCAGAAACTGTGACAATATTTTGATAATATCGCATTGTTCTTTTTTTTTTATATGTAAGAAGAACTCAATATATTTTCAAAAAATTTGATAAATTTTGAATGTTATATGTTATTCTTATATCCTAGCCTAGACCGAAATTTCAAATTTTGCTTAATGCAAGTATCTTATTTCTTATATGTTTGTGTGTATACGCTACTTTAATATAAAAATACATAATTAACTTACGAGCTGAAGGAATAAGAGGGCTATCATGGATGGAATAGCCTAGAAATAGTATACAGTTAAATCTTACACAATTTGGATTTATCCTATAATTACTCTAAGTAATTAAGTTGATAAGTAATTATTAAATATATTGATTTATACTATAGAATTATATTTTACACACAAGCACTCCTCGACAGAGATATCTATAAATATTAGAATCATTCATCATTTGTCCTCTCTTTGCTTTTGAACAAAAATCTTTTAACCCTTTAAATACACGCACGTGTGTGTGTGTGTGTGTGTGTGTGTGTGTGTGTGTGTGTGTGTGTGTGTGTGTGTGTGTGTGTGTGTGTGTGTGTGCATTACATTAAAAGGAGAAAAAAAAGAAGGTTTAAAATATTCAAATGATACATTTTGGCAATATTAATCAGCCTCTTTGGTATTAAGACCCTGATATTGCTTTCTTGTTTCAACTCAATCGACAGTTGTTTAACGAGAGAGGAGTTCTATTATTTCTATATTAAAAAGAAGATTATTATATATAAAGAATGCGATACAACTACTCTTTAGAAAAAATAGTTTGTATAGATTTCTCTCCAATATGCAATTTTTAAAATGCGCTCAGTTATGTTTTCTTTGGTGGAGATTCACACAGATCTTGATTCGTTTATCGTCATGTCGTGCTCCGATTTGGCATCCATTTTATACGTATAGATACATGTTCAGTCTACGTAGTCATAATATTGAATATACATAAGATACTGTATGGTCTCTCCACAACTGAGACGCCATGCAGATAATACATACACACACGTGTGTATATACATACACAGACGCACACACACATATTTTATATATATATATA